CTGGAAGATCAGATTTTTATTCTCCACATATTGTAAATAGGTTTTTTTCTTGTATATATTATATATAGGGTCCACAGTTACTGTCTGTTGCTGAAAATAGGACCTATACAAGATTTAAAAGGTAAAATATTCCACTGTTTGTGCGCCTTCACCTTTTTTTTTTTCTGTTCACTATATCTTTCATTTGGTGTAATAAGTGACTGGACACCAAGGTGTTTTTAAGCTGCACCAGTTGTAGTATTTTGTGTATAGCGCCCTTTCCCCTTCTATTGTGTATTTCTTTTTCATGATCAGCCTGACGGGTTTCATGCTCAGCAAGTAAATCTTGGTATTTCCCATTTTGAATGCCCAGATCGTCACTGTACGTGTCCAATCTAGTGTTCAGTGCCTTGTTTTCATCTAACGCCTTCAGGAGTCCTGTCATAAAGAAAGGCCAAGAGTGTATGATGAACCCCATTTTTTTTTCTATGTTAGTTTGTCCACCAATTGCTTTAAGATGTGTTATTATGGGTGAATCACTTCGAATGTTTTTTTTAGCTTCCCATTCTATGCCCTTCAACCAACCTTCATAGCATAAATCATTCTTCATATGTTTATGGATATGAATTAGAGTATTTTTTCTTAGGTCTTCTCTTATTTCAGCATTGTCTGATACAGATGTATCGCTGGCCATATTTCTATACACTGATTTAATCTCAATACAAACTATTTTCTATATCAAGATTAATATTGCATGAATTACACCAATAGCAACGCCTTAAAATTATTTTATGGAATATAATTTCAATTTAATGATCTCAGCAGTGCCTCCAATTTGTGTGGATATTTATGGGATGATAATATATACAGTTGAGAATTGCCCAATATTTCAATTCTCTTGGATCTTAGAGATCGTTATCATGTAAGTGAAATGTATTCCATACAAATAAAATCACAATTTGTTATAAAAATAGATATAATTTATTGAGACGAATAAAATAATAATAATATTAGGCAGCATGCATGATAATAATCAGTGAATATTTAGTATAACGTCAAATGCAATGGCTAAACACAGTACAAAGCTACAGCATCAACTGTCAAGACTTAGAAGATTTATGAGGGTACCTCACAGACACAGAAAGCAAAACTTCACACAGCACAGCAAAAAAACATAAAACCTTGGCTCACAGTCAGATCAACTGAGTGACCCTTTCAATGCTGGCTAGATCCTCCTAGGCATATAATATCCTATTCTCATGTAATTTTCAATTAAAATAACATTCAAACCAGCTCATTAATCAATTCCTGGAACCAACTCATAAGAATAATCTACCAGATTTTTATAAGCCGAATTTTAATTTGCCTAAAAAGATATCTTATCTTATTTCAGAGCAAATCAACACACATGGATAAAAACAGCGGTATGCTAACACGTGGTAAGATACCAGTACTATGTAATTATCTGACTCCACCTGCACAATGGAGTGTTATAACTACATATCCTCTTTATTTCCTCAGTCTCCCTCAGTATAAAAATCTCTCCTTACACCCACTTCACTCATCCCCCCATCCACATTTACATATGCCCTTCTCTGCTACACTCCCCCCTTCTCTCATCTCATGCCTTACACTAATTTTTCTACTCTCTCACTCCAACCCACAATCGATCTCATCCTAGACCCCATGCATACAAAACCCATTCACACCTCCTGTCACTTTCTCTCCTCCTACTTCTAGCAGCTGGTGATGTCTCTTCCAATTCAGGGCCCTTCACCTTCTCTAAGACAACCAGAAACCCCACAAACCTCATCACAATACCCTGCCCTTTACCCTCACTTAACAAAATTAATTGTGCACTCTGGAATGCCCACTCCATCTGCAGTAATTTAAAATCAACAACCATACATGACTTTTTCATCTCAAAATCACTCACACTGCTTGCACTTACAGAGACCTGGCTGTCCCCATCTGATAGCGCTACTCCTGCCTCTTTATGTTTTGGTGGGCTACACACTCCCAGACTCAACTGTAAAGGAGGCGGCGTAGGCATCCTTCTCTCCCCTCAATGTACCTTTCAACCAATCATAACTCCTCCTGCCCTATCCTTTTCTTCTTTTGAAGTTCACACTGTCCGCCTATTTAAACCCACTCCTTTGAAAATTGCTATCATCTACCGCCCCCCCGGTTATCTTAGACTATTCATTGAGCACTTTTCTTCCTGGCTTCCCCACTTCCTAGCACTCCTTCCCTTATACTTGGGGATTTCAATATCCCAATCAATAACCCCAATTGCACTGATGCCTCTCGTCTGCTCTCTGTAACCTCCTCCTTTGGCCTTACGCAATGGTCCAATCTAGCAACCCATACAGCGGGAAACACTCTTGATCTTGTCTTCACCAACCTCTGTACTGCCTCTCATCTCTCCAATATTCCCTTTCCTCTATCTGACCACCGTCTGCTGACTTTTGACATTGGCATACCTAAGACCCAATTGACACCACCGTCTGAACATCACTCTCACAGAAACCTCCAATGTCTTGACCTAGAGCATTTCTCCACTAATCTCCAAACTTTCCTTTTACCTATCTCAAACCTCACCTGTCCTAGTTCTGCAACCTCCTTCTACAATTCCACCCTCTCCTCTCAACTAGACATCATGGCACCTTGTACATTTAAACGCCGCAGGCCCCCCAAACAACAACCCTGGCACACCAAGCTCACTCGATACCTCCAAAAATGCTCCAGAACTGCTGAACGCTGTTGGAGAAAGTCTCACTGTGCATCTGACTTTCTCCATTATAAATTTATGCTGAGCTCATACAGCTTGGCTCTTTCCTCTACAAAAGTTAATTACTTCAATACTCTCATAACCACACTCTCCTGCGAACCCAAATGACTATTTCACACATTTAACTCTCTTCTTCGCCCTGCTGTTCCTCCTCCACCTATTAACTTGATTGCCTCAGACTTTGCAACTCACTTTACTGACAAGATCTCTACAATCAGAGAAGAGATATCTCATCTTTCTTCTTCCTCTTACAATACTTCCCCTAACTTCACTCCCTCTGCTGTTCTATGTTCATTCGCACCTGCTACATTGGAAGAAGTTTCTGCTCTGCTCCAGTCCTCCCGCCCCACCACCTGCTCCCTAGATCCAATTCCCTCGCATCTCATCCATACTCTGTCTTCTTCTCTTTCTCCACCTCTCACTAAAATCCTCAATCTCTCTCTCTTTATCGTCTTATCTCGCTACTGCCTTTTGCATCCAAGATCCTTGAAAAAATTGTGTATGCAAGATTGACAGACTTCCTCGAGTCCAACTCTCTTCTAGACCCGCTTCAGTCTGGTTTCCGCGCTAAGCACTCTGTGGAAACAGCACTGACCAAAGTATCCAATGATCTACTCGCTGCAAAATCTCGTGGTCACTACTCTATCCTAATTCTCCTTGACCTGTCTGTGGCTTTTGACACTGTTGATCATCAATAGCTTCTTCTCATCCTCCGCAATATCGGTCTACAAGATACTGCTCTCTCCTGGTGCTCCTCCTACCTCTCCCAGCGCTCATTCAATGTTTCTTTCTCTGGCTCTGATTTTTCTCTGTTGGTGTCCCCCAAGGTTCAGTCCTTGGTCCCCTACTGTTCTCCATCTATACTGCCTCCCTTGGTAAACTCATTAGCTCCTTTGGCTTCCAATATAATTTCTATGCAGATGACACGCAAATCTACCTGTCCTCTCCTGATCTCTCCCGTCCCTCTTGACTAGTGTCTCTGACTGCCTCTCTGCTGTTTCTAACTGGATGGCTGCCCACTTCCTTAAACTAAACTTGACCAAAACTGAAATTCTGGTCTTTCCTCCCTCAAGCGTTGTTACTCCTGTGTCTGTCTCCCTCCAAGTCAACGGTGCTACCATCAGCTCCACCACGCAGGCTCGCTGCCTAGGTGTTCTCTTTGACTCCAACCTCTCCTTCAAGCCTCATGTTCAATCTATCGCCAAATCCTGTCATTTCCATCTAAAACACATTGCGCGCATCCGCCCCTACTTAACGCCAGATGCGACTAAGGTGTTGGTCCATTCCACCGTCCTTTCTCGCCTTGAAAGGACTATCCTTACCTTTTTGTGTCATTTTACCCCACTCCCTCTAACATGTAAGCTCATTGAGCAGCGCCCTCAACCCCTCTGTTCCTGTGTGTCCAACTTGTCTGGTTACAACTACATGTCTGTTCGTCCACCCATTGTAAAGCGCTGCGGAATTTGACGGCGCTCTATAAATATCTTAATAATAATAATAATAATATTCTTTATTTAATTAAGATTCCTCAATTATGGGATCTGATCGTGATTTATCCATGCATGTATCCTGCTATTAATAGATTTTAATTAATTTAGATTAATTAAATAAAACCAGCATAATTACCAGTTATGATGTAGATGATCTCATCAGATGAGTAGGTAGTCCCAGGAACTTGAATGCGAGTATGATTGGTTGTATGGAGGTGTGTAAGTAATAGAGAAAAGTGATGTTGGTTAGAAAGTAATAGTAAAATTCTAAGTGTCAAGGAGTTGTGTCCAAGAGAGTTTGAGAGTTGAGTGTTAGTCCCAGAGTGTCCTGAATCTCTCTGAATGTCCGAATCTGAAAGCCCAACTCACCTCTCTTCCCTTTGTCCTAACTTTTAAAGGGCCAGACTCTCTGTACATCATTAGTTGATAAGGCCAATAGGAAACTGTAGGTGTGTCTACGTTATCGAGTATTATCTAGTTTTTGGTCAATAGAGGGCGCTATTGCCTCATTAAACTTTCCTATCCAGGAAAGAGTTTACTTTTCCTGATGACGATTTTGACGTCATTTGGCTTATCTAAAATGACTACCATAGCCAGGCTTTCCTTTACAGTTATTATTCTAAACTGTGATATATGTTATTATTATAGGCTGTGATTAGTGATGTCCCGAACGCTTCGCCGAACGCTTCGCCACGGATGGCGAACATAAACATAAACTTTGACCCTGTACCTCACAGTCAGCAGACACATTCCAGCCAATCAGCAGCAGACCCTCCCTCCCAGACCCTCCCACCTCCTGGACAGCATCCATTTTACATTCATTGTGAAGCTGCATTATTAGTGAGCTGTCCAGGAGGTGGGAGGGTCTGGGAGGGAGGGTCTGCTGCTGATTGGCTGGAATGTGTCTGCTGACTGTGAGGTACAGGGTCAAAGTTTATGTTTATGTTCGCCATCTGTGGCGAACCGTTCGGCGAACCGTTCAGGACATCACTAGCTGTGATATGTTATTATTATAGACTGACATATATGTTATTATTCTAGACTCTTGGGTATTATACTACCAAGCAGATTCCCACAGGGTCAAGAGAGATTGCAGGGTCAGGCTAATGTGGCTCAGCTGCATCCTAAGGGGATTTATTGGTCATTTAATGAGACGCAATGTAAATGGCCAAACTCGTGCAGATTTAAACATTAATTGCGCTGGGAGTCATCATTCCTTTCGGTGCTTTAAGAGACAAGGTGTCGTCAGGGAGCACATTCCAAAAAGCATGGACTCCTGTGAGAATACAAAATCTGCTCCCTTATTTAAAATATTATCCAATCAGCTAATTATTTGGTTTTAAAATTCCTGTTTGTAGTTCGTCAGTTCAGTTTGTTTAGAATCTCAGTTCAGTTAAGTTTAATCTAGTTTAATCTAGATGCAGTTAGTGAAAAGATTATGAAAGAAATCTCTTTAGGGAGAATTGCAAGCCCCTTTTCAGTCCTGCTTTTTGCGCATTTTAGGGTGTATCCATTCGACCCATTAGTTCCCAAGAAAGAGAATGGTACCTTTAGACTAATTCACCATTTATACAATTTATACAATTCCAAAGAGGGGTTGGAGAGAAGAGGCAGAGCCAGAGAAAAATACAACAGAGGAACACCAGGAGAGAGCAGTATCTCATTGTCATGATCCTCATCATGCCATATTTGGACTTTTGTTCTTGGGCCTGGCTGGGATTGAACCTGGGTCCCTTGCATTCCAGGCAGTGAACTTACCTTTAACACCACACATCTTTGTTGTTTTCTTATTCTCCATGTTCCTGTTATGTCTGAGTCTCTACTCCTGGATCACTGAACACCTATTCCTGGTTTCCAAATTAAGTGGCAATTATCCACCTATTTAAACTCTGCCTTGCTTCAGCCTCATTGTCAGATCGTTTGTTCCTCTTTGTGAAAACTTGTTGTACGTTTGACTCCTGGTTTGAATCTCTGCATGTTTCCCGTTGCTGCCTGTCCTGACTTTTGATTATGTCCTCGACTACTCTTTTGGATTATCCTTGCCGGTACTATGTTCTGGAAGCACTGTGTCTTTACAGCCCCAGTGCACTATATGACACCTCTGGCGATTTCTACCTTGACTCTACTTGGTTTGTGTTATATTGCAAAGGGTGCTTTAACTCTGCAAGTCAGACTCCTCATCAAGGTAAGATACCTGACATAACGATCTGACCATACGGAGTCCGCAGAGTTAAGGAAAACCATTGCAGCCTTGACCCAGCAAGTCTCCCAGCTTACCCAGGCTATGCATGGGTTACAGCATGAACTGGCTTTCCTTAAAGGGAGAGTAAACTGTGATCCTGAACTCAATGAACCGCTGGTTGCTCTACCTGAATAGTTTTTTGGGATTAGATTGAAGTTTGTCGCTTTCAAGTTAGATTGTGAGGTCCTTTTTTCCCTGAGGCCACTTACATATGCTACAGACTTCATTAAGGTGAGGACAGCTATCAACCTGTTGTCAGGGCACCCTAAGATTTGGGCCCACCAGTTGTTGCTCACTAAAAGTCCAGTCCTGGATTCCTGGGAGTCCTTTATTCAGTCCTTGGAATTTCAATGCAATAAGGCGCACAAGTCCTATGTTCCCAGAACACCCCCTGTTTTTCTGCGTAAATTGCAACCCGGACTGGATACGGACTGTACTGCCCCTTCCCCATGGATGGTGTTTCAGCAGGCTCATCGGCAAATGTCCCAGCAAGCTCTACCCCCTCTAAGTCACCCGAAGCTCCTGAGACATCATATTTGTCTGCCTTGGAGGCCGAAGAACCTATGGAAATTGGGCTGGTCTCATTCTGACAGTCGCCCAAAGAAAGGGCAAGAAGGAGGGCTCATGGACTGTGCTTTTACTGTGGGGAGAGAGAACATTTCATCTCCTATTGTCCTATTCGCCCACCTAGGTCTCAAGCTCTCCAAATGGGTACTACTTATTTATATCCTATGAGATCTGCATACCAACCTGTTACCTGTCCATGTTTGGCCACCCTGACCATTCCTCACCCTCCTATGGCTGTCGCTCCTGAGGGCCTGCAAGAACCTGTCGTGGAGAACCAGATGCTCCTATTTCTATGGTTGCTTCAGCTTCGAAGAAGGAAAGTACCACCACTACTGCTTGTCCTGTCGATAATGACCCTCCTCCTGGCTGCACCTGTGCTTCTGATGGGACTCTAGTCCATAAAGAGGACTTGCAAATCATTAAACTGACACTACATGCTATGAACTCTGCTCCTGCTGGTAGCTCCAAGGCTAGAAAATCTAAAAAGAAACCCTCTGGACAGTAAGGATACCTACCTCTTCTCGCCCTAGGGCATTTTTGAGGGGAGGGTAATGTCATGATCCTCATCATGCCATATTTGGACTTTTGTTCTTGGGCCTGGCTGGGATTCAACCAGGGATTGGGGTTAGAGTTTGATCTGTGAGATGTGGGTTGAGGGCCTGAAAAAAGCTTATTGCATATGCTTGTAGCTGGTGAGGCAGAATGTCCTTAGAGACCCTGCGCAGTCGAACATTGTTGCGCCTACGTCTGTCTTCCTGATCTGCCAGTTTGTCTAGGATTGTATTCATCTTCCCATCTATAATTTCATATACGTCTGCTAGAGTATTATGTGACGATATGATTTCCTCAGTCTTTTCTCTCCCCCAGCGCTTGTATATCAGATCGGACGTCGCGTACTAATTTTGCAAAGTCCCCTTGCAGTGAGGTTTGAATCTCCTTCAACATACTCTGTATGGAGGAGTCTGTGACTGGGGTAGGTTGCTTGGTTGATATAGAAGTGATATCACTCATATTGGAGCCTGTTGGGGAAAACGTTCTCTCAGTGCTATTTTGGGCGCGCTGTGGCGGCGGTGACAAGGCCGCAATATGTAAAGGGTCTGTTTTTACTCTCATTTTTTTTTATCGAGCGCTGTGTCATCCTGCGCTGCGTGTGTTCGCTAGGATGTGCGGGTATTTCTTGCGTTGTTGCTAGAGGATCTGCTCTGTAGATCGCTGTGTTATTGGGACCCAAAGAGAGCCTCCTTGGGACCCTCATGTGTCCGTCTCCCTGAGCAGTCTGGCCATGCCCCTGCATGGTAGGTTTTTAATTCATAGTTCAGGAATTCTTTCTAAGTTTCCATTTCGTAAAGTTCATGCAAACAGTTAGGTATGCAAGGGAAAAGGATTATATCTCATTCTTTTCGTATTGGTGCTCAGCGGGAACTCTGACTCCCATCCACCTGAACCACTGGACCCCAGTCACCCTTAAAGGTAGGAAACAGGAGGGTGACTTAAACATTTTGTGTGCCTGTCTGTATGTGTGTATGTCTGCCTGCTTGTATGTATGTGCATGAGCTTGTCTGTTTGTATGTATGTGCGTTGTGTGTGTCTGCCTGTCTGTTTTTTATGTATGTGGCTTTGTATGTATGGGTGTCTTGTGTGTGCTTGTCTGTTTGTTTGTGTGTGTGTCTGTCTGTTTGTATGTGTGTGTATGTGTGCCTGTCTGTTTTTTTTATGTATGTGTCTTTGTATGTGTGTCTTGTGTGTCTGTCTGTCTGTGTGCCTGTATGTGTGCCTGTCTGTGTGTCGGTCTGTATGTATGTCTGTGTGTCGGTCTGTATGTATGTGTGTGTGCCTGTCTGTTTGTATGTGTCTGTGTCTTATGTGTGTGTGTGTCTGTCGGGGGAAATATGGAGGGGCACGGATCATTTTGCACCGGGGCCCCATGGTTTGTGTGTATGCCACTGTTGGTACTGCTACGGAGGCGGTATCACAAGGTTTGTCGAATGAGTTGGTTAAAAAAGTAGGGAGATTGTTGTAAAATAGATACAAAAGTTATGTTAGTAAGGAACAATGTTTTTTTTTTTTATATTCTACAACAATGTCAAAATCTGTTTCTATGGCCACATGTTATTATTTTGCATTAAGGAGGTAATGATATGGGTAGAGTCAAGTAAGTGGTACTGTTTCACCAATTGAAAGAAGATATGTGCAGTTCTACGAGGATATTCCCGGATTCATTAATCATTTGGTCTGAGACTGTAACTCGCCTGGTGTGGTTGCGCAATGCAAATCTTAAAGCTTTAGAAAGAGTTAGACGCAAGCTGAACAGAGCCATGGAAAAATGTATGCCATCAATCGGTTGGTCTGGTGGGCTGTAGCATTAGTTAAATGCTGCAGCTGGTGGGGTTAAGGTCATCTGCCTTTTTTAAAGGGGGGTGGGGGCTGCGTGTTGAGTTTGGTGATTTATTTGTTTACGTTCTGGCTAATAGGGCGGAACTCTGGTGAGTCATGCTTAAATCTCTGGGGGTTTAAAGACCGGAGATGTTTGGTAACAAGTTATATATTTTAACCACTTAAGGACACATGACGGAACTATTCAGTCATGATTCCCTTTTATTCCAGAAGTTGTGTCCTTAAGGGGTTAAAATGATTAAGTTACGGTTTGTTATGTTTTGTAAACTAAATAACAGTGGCGTACTAAGGGGAGAAGGGGGGGGGGGCGGTCCGCCCTGGGTGCCATCAGGCAGGGGGGTGCCACCAGGGCTGGCCAGTCAGGGAGTCAGTGAGCTGTGTGGCTGCACTGGTTGCCATAGCAGCAGGGGCGGGGCAGCTGACACAGCTCACACGCAGGGGCTGGGAATACAGCAGGAGAGCAGAGATTTGGGGGCGGAGCCAAGTCAGATGTGGGGGCGGAGCCAAGTCGGACATGGGGGCGGAACTAAATGCAGCCTCATACTGCTGCACACAGAGGGGAAGCAGGAAGGAGTCCCTGCTTCCCCAACTTACAGCACAGCAGGGACTGAATCCCCTCCTCCTCCAGCCCATGGTTACTGTAAGGGAGAGAGTGTGTGTGTGTGTGTGTGTAACTGTGATTGTGACTGTCTGTGACTGTGTGTG